TTAGAACGCCCCGTTGCCCCTCACCGCCGAAATCTCCATCAGCGAGTCCTGCTCATTCCTCCATAGCCCGCTGAGCTGGCACTGAAAGGACATGGCCACAGGCCCTCTGCCGCCGCAGAGGACCCCATCCCTCCCATCTCCCCACGGCCGGAGCCACAAGCCTTGCTGCGAGCGTGACTGCGGGGCACGGCAGTCCCTGTCCCTAGTTTGGAGAAATGCTCCCCCAGCTGCTGCTGGCTGCTGAGTGGGCAGTGCAGCAGGGCCAGCGCGTCCCAGCCCGTCAGCATGCGTGGTACACCCAGACACGGACCCCGTGGGAGGGGATGCCCGGTGCGCCGTACCCCTGGGCACAGACCCCGCAGGAAGGGATGCCACGTGCGTGGTGCCCTGGACACATATCCCATGGGAGCGGATGGCCCACGCATGGTGATTCCGGGCACAGACCCCGTAGGAGGGAATGCCCTGCGCATGGTGCCCCTCTGGGAGCAAAGCTTTGTGGAGGTGGTACAAGGTGGCTGGGGGTGACCCGGAGATGCTCTGCCCATTGCCTGGACTAGGGGTTTGCAAAGCTCTCCTGCTTGCCCCAGCCTAAAATGGCATTTAAGAGAGAACCCCTGTCTGCCCACACTGCATCCCAGTGCCGTGTCCGCCACGTTCCCACCGCCACCTGTCCCCGTACCTTCCTCTCTGTGGGGGTGACACACGTCACCAGGGCCAGGGCGAGGACCAGGGTGAAACCACCGTTCTCCATGGCCACGGGTCTGCGAAGTGCCCAGCACGGCTCCCTCCCGGCCCTGCGCCCTGGCCCTCTTTATAGGGCTGTAACCGGAGCCCCGCGGGCAGCGGGCTGGCAGGGCAGGGGGCCCCGGCGAGGGCGTGTGGCAGGGTGCCTGGGACAGGACAGGCGAGGGGAGGAGGTCTGCGTGACCTGGGCAGTGCTGGAGGAACGCGGGGATGAGCACGGCGGTGCAGAGAGGTGGGGGTGCGGGGATGGTTTGCACATCTGCTATCCAGGAAGCTCTGCCAGCCTGTTCCTTGCTCTGTGATGGAGTCGTCGCGGTGGGCGCAGCCTGACACAGTCCCACTGCCACCGTCCCAGTGCTGACATCCAAGCACAGCACTGCGGCAAGCACAGCCCGACCAGCTCTTCTCTGCTGCACTGGAGGGTGGTGTGTCTGCCCACAGGAGCTCGTCCTCATGGTAGTCCCCTCCTGCACTACAAGTTTCTGCTGCTCTTTCTAAGCTGTTTTTTCCCCTGGCTGTGCTGGGCTTTCCCTAGGTCTGGGGACTGTGACTGTCACTGCAGCGGGAACGCTTGGGCACCCTTGAATTAATCCCCCTTGTAAGTGCAGAAGGGTTTTTCTGGAAGAGACGCAGATATTAAGATTTCCTTGTCCCCGTGGGAGGGGTTGCCCTGTGCCTGGTGTCCCCATGCACAGACTTCCTAGGAGGCAATGCCGCATGCATGGTACTTTGAGGCTGGGCAAGCTATGGGTCCATGGCAGAGCCCTGTCTGAGCCCTTAGCAAGGGATCCCTAATGGTATGAGATCGTGCTGAGGACATGCAGGTGTCCAGGGTCTGCCTGCCTCTTGCACAGGGACAGGGCACAGCCACCTCCTCTAAGGTATCTCCCCAACAGAATGAATGTATCGCTGCCAACTCTGCAGGGGACAACAGAGCTGGTGCCTGGCTGTGTCCAGGTCAGGAGGGACCTCTCCGGCCCCTGCCCAGCACAGGGACTGAGCATCTGCTTTGAGAATCCTCCAGAGACACACCTGCCCTGGGCTGGAAGGCACCAGCAGGGCCACTCTCCTTCTCCCTAGGGAGCAGGATCTGGCAATGCCCATGTGCAAATAGCGCTTTGTTTTTGACTAAAAAATTATAGTAGATGCTTTCAGCTCCCATCCCTGGGATTTGCTCCAAAAGCCTTTGGGGTCCCGGCACCACTGTCCCTTATCTGCTGCCCAGATGGCTCCCAGCCCCAGCACCCACCCCCAGGGCTCAGCGCTCCCCCCGGGTGCTCCGTGCTGCACCCATGGGTGTGCATCCCAGCACAGAGCAGGGGTGGAGGAGTGCCCTGCAGCCCTGCTCTGACTGTGGTTCACACCTTGGCTTTCCAGTCATCCCCGAGGCTGTCAGCCTCATCTTGTGTGGTCTGCACGGTCCTTACTAATTCCTTCCTGCCCCTTGTCCATGAAGCGCTGGCCCACAAGTGCTGTGGTGGAGTCTGCAGCCCGTGAAAGGGTGGGAGGTGGGAAAGGGCGCTGGGATGGGGCTTTCCCTCTCAGGCAGAGAGCTTGCCAACTTGTGAGTGGGAAAGGCTGCTTGCAGGTGAGTGATGTTTCCCTCCTAAACCTCCTGTCCTGCTGGGACCTGGGGGATGGCACTAGACAGGCGTGGGATACACCGGGCATGGGGGGATGAGCCCAGCTGAGCCTGCGTCCAGGTCTGCCCCACCTCGTTCTGGGCAGGACCTGTCTGGACGAGAGTCAGAGCTGGGAACCGGGAGGTGCCACCAGCCATGCAGCTCTGATGTTCAGGATGGGGGAGAACTGGGGACACCACAGGAGGGCAGAGGACCATCAAGGACACCACAGGGAGCACCAGGGAGCTCTGGGGACGCTACAGAGATGGGGGACCATTTGAGACACCAAAGGGGAAGGCAGAGGATGGAGGACACTACAGGCAAGGGCAGAAGGGGATCAGGGACATCTCAGTGGAGGGCAGGGGAGCTCTGGGGACACCACAGGGAGGCTGGGAAAGAAGAAACACCAACTCTAGTTGATGGTGAAGCCGAAGGTCGGCTGGGTCTTCTGGTTCATGCAGTGCTGGCACCCCTTCAGCAGTGACAGCTGGATCTCATTCATGGTGGCTGTCACGACCGTGTGGTAGGAGCTGGCAAAGTCGCCTTTTCCATTCATGGCTGCCAAGGCAGTGTTGGTAGCTCAGGTCATTGATCCGGTGCCCGGTCAGCATGCACTGGAGTGGAGTGGACTCAGTGCTGATGCTGCAGCACAGCCTGGGTATAGGGTTGTCGGTCCGTGGCTTGGAGTGGACTCATTGCTGATGCTGCAGCGCAGCCTGGGTATAGGCAGGGTGGCAGGAGCAGGCACCCCCGGGAGCCACATCGGGGAAGCTGGAAAAACCGTGGGTCCCCTGTCCACCCAAGGGGATGTACTGCCAAGTGTGATGAGCTCAGCTGTGGGCTGGGGAGGTGGGTCGCGTCTGGGAGGGTGCCCTGGCTCCCAGCCAGCACCAGGAAGGGCTGGGGACCTGGCCAAGGAGCCTGTCCATCCTCCCAGGATGTCAGTCTGTGCTCAGCAGGGCTGCAGCCAGAGCTGGGCCAGGGACAGAGGCTGAGGAGCAGAGCAGGGCGTGCGGTCGAGATCTGGATTCTGGCGGGAGTGGTGACCAGGCAGACACGGCAGAGGTGGCAGAAGCTATGGGACTTCATTTGTAAGTGAAGTTAGAGGCTTTAAAATCAAGTTTATTCTTACATCATCACTGCAGCATGGCTGAGTACCAGGCTGTGCCTGGACTCCCACCCAGACCAACAAGCTGTAGAGTCTCTGGGTGACTCCCTGGCTCCATCTGCTTAGGTGGGACAACGGCTGGATTGAGACAAATGCTGGGCACTGAGATGTTCAGCACTGAGAGATTTGTAAATAGTCAACAGGAACAGTACCCGCAGAAATGGTTGGACAGTCTTCTGCACACAGTTAAGACATGCAGGTGCTGTTTCCCATGTAGCTGAGATAAGCGGTAGCAATGGATCACGCATACCCTGAAACATGGCCAACAGATGGACAACAGCTGAGCAGGAGCGGTTTAGGGAGTCTCACCTGACCTCACCTGAGGTGCTGCTGCAAGGACCTCTGCAATGTAGACTCCTCCTCTGTCCAGAGAATGACTGACTGATCCCCTACGTAAGCACGACCTGATGCCAAGATACTCCCAAATAAGTTTTTTTTCTTTTTTTTTAACCTATATGCTACCTGCGAGCTCCTGTGAAACACAGATGGGCAGCAGTGATGCACTGCCTGTGATTGCAAGCATCTCCTGCCTCCTCCAGCTCCCGATGCCTCTGAAGGCATTCACAGTGTGTGAATGCCCGTGACAAAGGCTTGCCATGCAGCAGCAAAGGCTGGTTTTCCTTCCAGAGGGAGATCTGCAGTGGGGCTGAAGGGGACCCTGCCACTCACCTTTGCTACACCAATGAGCTGAGCAGGAAGGGGGCAAAGTTCTTCTGGGTTCGCAGCTCAGAGAGGCAGAGCAGAGACGAGCAGAGTGCAAAGCACTGTGAGCAGGTCTTGCAGCTGGGTAAAACCCAGTGCTGATGAATGCCCAATGCCCATGGAGAAGCATCTTCAGCCAGAGCCCCCCCCAGACCCCCACGGGCACCCCTGGCACACAGTGTCCTAACACCTGCCACCCCAAAACTGAGATGCTGGATGTATCACTGCCTTGCTGGGTGCTGATACAGACAGTGGCCTTGCAAACAGCTCTGCCAGCCCATGCCTGTTGCATTTCTCACCAGCACCGTGGCTGCCTGCAGAGGTCTGCAGACTGCTCAAATGGTGGTCAGCACTGCTGCCTTGATGGTGTGTCCCAGGACTGCTGCACAGCCTCCAGGGAGCCCTGCTCCGGGGAAATGTTGACATGAAAGCGACAATAAAGTCAGGAGGATGCATGCAGTAAGGCTGCAGGCTTAGCAGAATGCCCCACCACTGAGCCAGCCACACTTCAGCGGGAAAGCAGACTCCTGTGATCCCTCTGCCACCTTCTTTCCTAATTTTCAGGTTCCTCCAAAGCAGGTAAAAGGCTGCACAGACCAAAGGACACTGTAGCAGAGGGGTGGTGTAAAGGCATTCTGCTCAGAAGGGCTTCAAGGGAACTGAAAAAGCCAGATAAATTCAATGGACACACCGAGCAGGAAACAGCTGCATCGCTCCAGAAGCGGAAGATGGACCCAAGGGAGAAAAGTCTGAAACGAAAGCAACATGCAAGTCTGCAACGGGGCGGGCTAAAACACAGAGCAGGCGGACAACTTGCTAAAGCCGCAGATACTGTTATCAAAACTCTCCCACAACATTTGCAGCAACAACACCAGGCGAGCAGTGGGAGGTGGCAGCCCGCTGCCAGCCCACTCCTGACTTTAGGCTGCTCAAATCCCAGGTGGGTGCCAGCACGGAGTGTGCGACACCATCCATGGTTATTTTGGGACTGGACAGCTCCGGGACCAAGTTTCAGTTTCAGACCTAGAACTGAGTTTCCTGGAAATCATTTGTTTCAGCTGAGAGGAGTGACTCAGGCAGCACCGTTACCAGAAGTCACAAAGTCCAGCAGACGGGGCTTTGGGGCTGGATTTGCTAGACAACCCCTTTCCAGTAAATCACACACATTTCCCTAAGAGGAGTTTCGGAGCTGGATGTGCTGCGGCTACTGGCAGTGTGCTGCCGGTAGAGAGCAGCTCTCACCCTTCTCCAGCAGCACGGGCAGAGCCAGGACCCGGCACCTGCCTGCCTGAGGGCCGTCCCGGAGCTGGGGGGCTCCCAGGCAGCTTTTAGGGGTGCAGAAGGATCCCCCAGCATACCCTGCCATCACGCTCACCCGCTACCAAGAAAGGAAGAGCCAGCACTGACCTGTGCTTAGTGTCAGAGGCTCACTTTGGGGATGCACCATCCCATTCAGTGGGAAAATGGGCCTTCTTGGGGCCAGCCTCTTCCCAGAGCAGTGGGGCGAGAGCTCCATCCTGCACCCACAGGCATACTTTAGCCTGGCTTACCCAGAACACAGACTGCACAACACTGGGTTTAAAGCAAAATACTTTATTTGTTTCTTGTGGATGTCTGAGCTGATAATGGCCCTGAGGCTGGGACATGGTGATGCTGGTGAGGGGTCCCCTAGTGTTCCAAGGCCAGCTGAAGCAAGAGGCTGCTCCCTCCTCCTTTCAGGCTGTCCGAACGAAGACGTTGTGGCCAGACCTGTAGGGAAGAAGATGCCCATCAGTGTGCCATCGGCAGAGGTGCAGGGGTCCCAGCCGGGCTGGGTGTCCCTTGGCTCACCTGGTGGCTTTCCAGTCGCTGGACAGGGAGTCAACCTTCTCCCGCAGAAGCCAGGAGGTCTGCAGGACCTCCTCCCCATCGTCCCCAGCAAAGCACTGGCCCACGAAGACAGCTGTGGAGTCTGGGGGAGTGGTGGCTGTTAGCATCCCAGCAAGACCCCACCTGCTTTTGGAACTTCACAAGTGCTGGTGGGTTTAATGCTCATGGAGTCTGGGTGGGTCCCAATGTTTGCGGGGAAATGCACTGTGGCAGAGATGCTGTCAAAACAACTCTCGATGCTGCCTAGCCTGAGCAGTGTTTCAGGAGGTGTCCTGCTGTCTGTGGACACCGTCCAGAATGGGGAGAGGTCAGGGAAGGACAGACTGGGGACAGGAGAGGGGACAGAGGGATTGGGACATGCGCTGGGATCTGCCTGAGCTCCCTCCCCATCCCACCACCCCATCCAGGCACGGCCACCACTGCATCTACCGACCAGAAAACTTCTTCCAGTTGACGGTGAAGCCGAAGGTGCATTGCCCATCCTCATCCAAGTGCTGGGAGCCAATGAGGGGGGATGGCTCGATGGGTTTCTGGGCGCTTGATACAGCGGTGTGGTACTCGCCGGAGAAGTTGCCCTGGCTGTCCACTGTGGACACCAGCATCCTGGAGCCAAGGTCGTTCTCCCACCAGGCAGTCAGGTTGCACTGCTGGAGGATGAGCAGACGTGTCCCCGGGGGCTGCCTGCACACAGCTCCTACCCCTACCCCGTGGGCTGAGCCCCCTGCCCACACCCCCCTGATGCCCACAGGGAGCCAGCACTCACCTTGCTCTTTCTTGCTGGCCGTTTCTGCTCGCGGCCCGGCCACAACTTGGTGTTGGTTGCCTTTTCCTCCTTTGCACTGGCCTTTTCCCCCCTGGGGATCTCAGCTGCCTGACAGAGGATCTTGGAAAAGAAAAGGAACACAGAGGCAAGCTGTGGGCAGAGGCACAGCAGGGTGTCTCCAGAGCCCCGGGAGTGCTCAGGCACTCATTTTTAAGAGACATGATTTACAAAGAGACATAATTTACAAATTGGCTTCCATCTCAGCCATGTCAGGAGGGCCAAACACTGGGGTAAGCTGAGAATAAGGGGAGAGGTGAAGAGGAAAAGCTAAAGGCAGCAGCCCCGGGTGGACAGGAACGCAGGCGGGACCCCTGCTCCAGCCTTGCCAGGTGAGCTGTGTGATCCCAGGACAAGTCTGCCTGTGCCCGTGGAAAAGTGTGCTGTGCTTGGAGCTGGTGCGTGGCGTGAGTGGGGAACCCACTGGGATGGGCAGAGCCCTCAGGTTCATGGTGGGCTCCTGCACAGCCAAAGAGGCAGCAGCCCCGGGTGGACAGGAACGCAGGCGGGACCCCTGCTCCAGCCTTGCCAGGTGAGCTGTGTGATCCCAGGACAAGTCTGCCTGTGCCCGTGGAAAAGTGTGCTGTGCTTGGAGCTGGTGCGTGGCGTGAGTGGGGAACCCACTGGGATGGGCAGAGCCCTCAGGTTCATGGTGGGCTCCTGCACAGCCAAAGAGGCGGCACAGCCAGAGCCCTGCAGAATCCCACCTGCGAGGCTCCGGCCCCTGCTCTGAGCACCGCCTGTCCTCCCCAGCACACCACCTCCCCGGGCAGGGGCAAGCCACCCCACGCGGCAGGGTCTCCAGGTTACCCCTG